AAGGCAACCTGCTTAACCTCTCTATGTCAGTTTCTCCATCTTTGAGATGGAAAAAATACCTATTTCAAAGAAAAGACTGTAAAACCTACACAAGTAAAAAAAAATCACTACAGAAAAAAAAAGTTGCTAGAGCAGTATAAAGTGCAGTTCCACCCTGAAAAGTGACTCTTAAGAGTGGCATCGATTTCCAGGCTTTTAATTAAATCAGTATCAAGTTTGTTCATTCACAGTAACAAAGCCTTCTTTCTCCAAACCATTAGTCTGTAGGTTAGTATAGTAAGCCTAACTGAATTTTTCCACATGAAGAGTACTGCCAATATTAAAAATCATGTAGATTATATTGAAAGTTATTTATAAAAATAATTTGCAGAAGTGTACTACTTGACTTTATGAATTTGCACAGAAAAATACCTAAATCCTCCTCAAAACCTGTAAAACTCTTGGTCTAATTTTATCATAGCATGAAGCCCCATTTTTTGCCTCAAAAGAATACCTTTCAGTTTCAGAATGCCTTATTATGAAAGAACCCTATATTATGAAAAAGGTGCAATTTATCATCTATTCATTATTTTATCTATTTGTTTGTGGCAATTTTTAGTACAGCTTAATTTTGAGTGGGAACTGCAATAATGCTTTCATTCTTAAAATTGGCCACAACTCGAAACATTGTTAGTTCATCGATCACACATGGTGTGATCAACATGGGATTCAGAGTTCATCGTAAGCAGAGATCCTGAATCTCCTGTAGAATATCATGGTCTTCAAAAAAAACCACAAACCAGAACAAAAAACAAGTATGAATTCATGATGGCCCTGACACCAAAACCTGAGAGTCAAAACAGACATACACATTTGTGGGTAAAAGCTGATATTCTTTTTTAAAAAAGGGTATTTTTAAAACTTCTTTGGAACTAGTCACTGCTCTCTACATGTCAGTTCCCAATATAACTGCGGGGCTTTACTTATACACTACTGTATACTATTTTTAAGTCTCTATTCCATATCTAGAAAACAGCTGTGTCAAGGTGACCAAATCCAATTTTGACAACTTCCTTATTTCTAGAAGCTACAAAATGAAGTTTCCCAAATACACGTAACATCACAAAATATTTCATGAGCTGGGAAAGAGGAAATCAGGATTCCAAAGCTTCTACTTAAATGCTCCTTAAATACCTAGCAATTTACCAGAAACTCCAATATTGACTCTAAACAAGTGAAGAAAGAAGCACAAAAGGCACCAAACTTAGCTCTTAAAACAGCAAATGTCATTTCTTGACACTGATGTCACACTGGTAACTATAAACTATACATGTGCTTCCAGAACTAAGAATTTCAGATGACCAACACTATTGCTGAATAGGGTAGGATTGTACTATCTATTTCAAAGGTGAGTGTTCAGTGGCCTACCATAACAGATCTAAAAAACAAATAAGCCAATTAGCAGGTTAAAATCACAACTCCAAAAGAAAAGCCATTAAGAGCCCATTTCTTTACAGACTGTATTAAAGACTACAAAGATCTGGAGGCCAGCAATGCAACCACTTCTGTTAAACAAATTATAGCTATCCCATTTGCAAAGTTCCACAGTGGTACATCTAAATGTTGATAAAGCTATTTCAGGCTGACAAGGAAGGGAAGAATGGTAGGCAAATACTCCATGCAGTTGCTCACTTCTGTATGCAAACTCCAGAAAACAATCATAGAATCATATAGATTGGAAAAGACCTTGAAGTTCATCAAGTCCAACTGTTAACCTAACACCACCAAGTCCACCATTAAACCATGTCCCTAAGCACCATATCTACATGTCTTTTAAATACCTGCAGGGATGGGGACTCAACCACTTCCATGGGCAGCCTGTTCAAATGCTTGACAACCCTTCTGGTGAAATTATTTCCTAATATCCAATCTAAACCTCCCCTAGCACAATTTGAGCCCATTTCCTCGCATCCCATCACGTTTGTTACTTGGAAAAAGAGACCAACACCCACCTTGTTACAACCTCCTTTCAGGTAGTTGTAGAGTGCTATAAGGTCTCCCCTCATCCTCCTTTTCTCCAGGCTAAACAACCCCAGTTCCCTCAGACGCTCCTCATAAGGCCTGTGCTCCAGACACTTCACCAGCCTTGTTGCCCTTTTCTGAACACACTCCAGCACCTCAATCTCTTTCTTGTAGTGAGGGGCCCAAAACTGGACACAGTATTCCAGGTGCGGCCTCACCAGTACCGAGCAGAGGGGAACAATCACCTCCCTGCTCCTACTGGCCACACTATTCCTGATACAAGCCAGGATGCTGTTGGCCTTCTTGGCCACCTGGGCACACTGCTGGCTCATATTCAGCTGGCTGTCGACCAACACCCCCAGGTCCTTTTCAGCCAGGCAGCTTTCCAGCCACTCTTCCCCAAGCCTGTAGTGTTGCATGGGGCTGCTGTGACCCAAGTGCAGGACCCAGCACTTAACCTTGCTGAAACTCATACAACTGACCTCGGCCCATCGATCCAGCCTGTCCAGATCCCTCTGCAGAGCTTTCCTTCCCTCAAGCAGATCAACACTCCCACCCAACTTGGTGTCATCTGCAAACTTACTCAATCGCCTCATCCAGATCATTGATAAAGATATTAAACAGAACTGGCCCAAATACTGAGCCCTGGGGAACACCACTTGTGACTGGCCACCAACTGGATTTAACACCATTCACCACAACTCTTTCTGCCCAGCCATCCAGCCAGTTTTTTACCCAACAAAGAGTATACCCATCCAAGCCATGAGCAGCCAGTTTCTCCAGGAGAATGCTGTGGGAAATGGTGTCAAAGGCTTTACTAAAGTCTAAGTAAACAACATCCACAGCTTTTCCCTCGTCCACTAAGCAGGTCACCTTGTCATAGAAGGAGATCAGGTTAGTCAAGCAGGACCTGCCTTTCATAAACCCATGCTGACTGGGCCTGACCACCTGGTTGTCCCATACATGCCATGTGACAGTGTTCAGGATGATCTGCTCCATGACCTTCCCTGGCACCAAGGTCAGTCTGACAGGCCCGTTGTTCCCTGGATCCTCCTTCTGGCCCTTCTTGTAGATGGTTGTCACATTCTAACCTCCAGTCAACTGGGACCTTCCCGGTTAGCCACGAGTGCTGATAAAGGATTGAAAGTGGCTTAGTGAACACTTCCGCCAGCTCCCTCAGTACCCTTGGGTGGATCCCATCTGGCCCCATAGACTTGTGTGTGTCTAAGTGGTGTAGCAGGTCACTAACCATTTCCCCTTGGATTATAGGGGCTTTGTTCTGTTCCCTGTCCCTGTCTTCCAGCTCAGGAGGCTGGGTACCCAGAGAACAACAGCTCTTACTATTAAAGACTGAGGCAAAGAAGGCATTAAGTACCTCAGCCTTTTCCTCATCCTTTGTCACTATGTTTCCCCCCTGCATCTAATAAAGGATGGAGATTCTCCTTAACCCTCCTTTTGTTGCTAATGTAGTTACAGAAACATTTTTTATTATCTTTTACAGCAGTAGGCAGATTAAGTGCTAGCTGGGCTTTGGCCATTCTAATTTTTTCCCTGCATAACCTCATGACTTGTAATCCTCCAGAGTGGCCTGCCCCTTCTTCCAAAGGTTATAAACACTCCTCTTTTTTTTTTTTTTTTTCCTGAGTTCCAGCCAAAGCTCTCTGTTCAGCCAGGCCGGTCTCCTTCCCCACCAGCTCAATGCAAGTCTCCATATTGTGAGGAAGCAGTATAAATTCCTCTCAGCTGCTAGGTTATGTCATCACTAATGACACTGTTGCCCATTTACTCACCTTCCAATTACTTTAAAAAATGGCATAAGAGTTCAGACAGAACATACTTGTGCTACACTACAAGCTTTTCATCCATTTTTTCTGGAGAGAATATTATCCAGAGCTACTCCAAGAGTTAAGTTTCTAATTAAGACTCCCAGATCTGGTGAGGTTACTCCTCCCACTGACTCTCAGAAGATTTTCACCAAGATACTCTAAAAAGTGCAGTGAAATGTATGTTGGGAATTAGTGAACAGAATATACACTTGGCACAACGTGCCACACTTTTGTAGAACTTTCACGCCAAGGAAAATCCTTAACAGAAACTTCCCAGGGTATTGTACCAAAATAACTTTTGAGGGTAATAGCAAGGTCATGTTGTTTTGTAAGGTTATTCATTACAGTTCAACTGATAATAGGTTATTCATTATTTTTTGGCACCTTTCTATGTGGCACTCTGTTCTGAATCCAAACAGTAAGATGTGCTAAGCAACATAAACGTGGAGAGGAGCGCGCTGTCTTATGCCCATGTTTAAAATTTACAGTATCCTACCAAATTTAACTGTCACTTCACAGCTGAAGTGCTTCATTTCCTTAAAAGTCTTCATGAAAAAACTGTCAAAGGTTTTGAGTCCCAAAAAGTCATAACTGTGATTTCTCCTTTTATTAATTTCTGGAAAGAAAAACTGGCTGTTCCTACTGCATGATCATGTAGATTTCAAATTCTATGCAACAAGTGAAATCAGTATTTTTGATACTGAAGCTGACTCACAATACATCTTCCTTTTCTTAAGCACAAATATATCCACCAAGTTTGAAAGGCTCTAGTGAATTTTAATTAGATCGTATTTCTTAGTTACTGATCCCTTATTTCCTATATAAACTTGATACATAGCTGATAGTGTTGCTGAGTTACTGTTCAGTATCAATTTCAGAGGAGAACTGCACTTTGAATAGTACTAAACAGCAGAATGCTTAAAAAAATACATACAATTCTATACATATACCTTTCCTTTACAAACAATAAAAGATTTACACCACTTATTAAACAGATCAAGTTTAACAGTCGTATTTATCTGAGGGAAATCAAGCATTTTAGTTCAGTATCAGTTTCATTCTGAATAGTGCAGCTTGAGAGTATTAGTTATTTCTTTGAACTGAAAGACTGTAAATTTATAGAGAAGAAAAAGATGAAATATTTTAAAGATTTATACAAATGGTTTTGCTAACCTCGTACTGTCAGCTTGCTATATAACTGTGAGTTCATTTCCTTGTCTCTCTTGTAACGTCGAAATTCATCAACAGCTTCCCGTACCACTGTGACCGTCAAAACAAATCCCTGTTAAAGATATAATTATGCAATTCAGAATTCTCAAAGTGCTAGAATAGAAATACACGAGTAGGAACACTATACAGAGTAAGAACATGTGCTTAGAATATTTACTTTTTTTCTCATTTGGATTTTAGTGTTTTCTTCAATCTGTTAAAATATTATCTTGGTTTAGTCCAAAAAAAGGAAAATATATTTGTACAAGTATGAATTAGAATAACTACATCTCCAAACACATGTAATTTAGATATAATTTGAAATTTAAAAATTTAAAATGCTTTGGATGAGCTAAAGACAGCCTTTATAGTTCAATAAGCATATTTCCCTATCTTCCACAAACTTTAGGGCTTTACTGAAACCCAAAAATTTAAGAAGTCTCCAATTCCGAGTTCACTGCCTTTTTCCTAACTGACAGAAATGAAAAGGTAAAGAGATGGCTAGTTTAATTAATTTTGCCATCTTAAATGCAGTTATTTACCAATATGTCATAAATATTAAATACAGACAAAGAAAAAGGGAGTTTGTTCTGAAAAACTAATTATCTAAATGCTTTGGCTGCTACTTTCACAGGTTAGTGCCACTGCAGCTTCTGCTGGAAGCAAGAGTGCACTACATGTGACTAAGATGGTCTCTTGCCACAAAAGATGGTAAGCTAAAAAGAATACAGAACAGTTCAGGGATAAGCATGTAAGAGTTTCCTCTCTCCCTTTCTAAATCTCCTCAGATATGGTCTTCTGGCTTCTTAAACTCAAGTGCTCAGTCTTTCTCCATCAGTGAAAGGGAAATAAAATTTCAGAGTAAAGGAATCTTATCATTACTATAATAAAGATGGCTAAAAAATTCAAACATTCACAAGTCCTCCAACAGATAAAGTTCTAGATTATCTATCTAGCTTCAGACATCCACCAATACTTCCCTTCCATAGAAGAAAATTTATACCATTAGAATTCTTTTCTTGCACAAGTCCAACAGTTTGCCAACCTTCTCCTAATCTCCCAGCAACAAGAAAGGAGTGAAGGTGTAGAGTTTTCCTAAAGGAGCCTTGACTAAAATTCTCCTTTTCAATAGCAAGGGCTGTTTTGCAGTTCCAAAATTCCAAGGCTTACTCTGTTGCGACCTTATAGTTAAACACTCCTTGTTTGTTCATGTTTACATTAGCTATCACAGTTACATTAGAACTACGTAGAACAAAAAAGTGCCTTTGCAAAATGCATTCCTTTTCACTCCTAGGGCATAACTGAATGAGCAGTACGGTTTTGCCCTTTTCTGGCAGCAACATTTTCACAAGCCTTGACAGTATAGTACATTAGCAGCATAAAAAAGGCACTCCTGAAGCACCTTCAAATATATTTGCCATTTGCACGTATCTCATTAACTAGACAGTAATCAAAGCACCGAATGTAAGGTGTTAATTGCAAGAATTTCCCCTAGCAGTCACTATACCTTGCCGGGCAGCTCAGTACAGCTGACTGTGACTATGAGGAACAATGTAAGACAGATATTTCCCTTTTTCCTCATTTGCTCAAAGGAACTTGATACTATTCCAAAAGGGGAGCTGAAATTATGAAGCCAATCTTCCAAAAAACCTTGTCATCTTTCTTTAACTGTAATCAGTTAAATACCTTTAGCGTACTGCTTACAGTCAAACTTGGATGCTTTACATCTTTTAGATGTTCAACTCGAAATGAGAAGTCTGTTCCTCACTGTGTGAATGACAAACCAGTAAAATACAGTATTGTCTGAAGAATTCCAGTGCTTGATCTAAGTGTATTATGACTGTTTGTTATAAAAACTGTTGAAGTAAAAAACCAAAAAACAACACGAGCCTGAATGCCCCCACACACACACACCACCAACCCCTCCCCCCCCCAAAAACCTTTTAGCACAGAGTCAACTTCTATTCATCTGATTTTAAGTATCAGGACAAACAATTTTTCTTTTGCTTTAAAATCTTGAGAGAAAATAGAAGCCAAGTCATAGCTACTCCTCTGATTATTACTGAGGATTTATCAGCAGTTACATGCTCTTCAAAGAAAACCAAACTTATCTGTTAGGCAACAAAGACAGCCCAATGGGTCTGACTTAAATGTTTTATATTTTCATCATACATACTGAGCCTTACTCAACATCCAGTTGATCTCTTCTACCTGGAGGTTAATCATTAGTAGGAAAGCTATTCAAGTAGAAACAAGTGAGTTTAGCAAAAAAGGATATCACTAGTACTAACTGAAATATTGTTGTATTTTCAAGCTATATCGGAAAACTGGGAAGTGTCATTCAAAATATCTTTGAATAAGACAAACACATCTATACAGAACAGATTACCGGTGTTTACAAAATACAGTATTTTCTCCCTTCTTTGGGCAGGGATGAGATGGGCTGAAATGCCAAGTGATTTTTCTCCTCACTACCCCACTAACATATAGAGCTGTACACAGCACTTCACTGTGAAGAGACCAACTTCTGGACAAGGCTGACTTCTGTCTTTTCTTACTGGGTCAGTGACAAAGACCTTTGTAAATATCCATTTCAAATCCCACTGTTGAACAAGCTTTCTGTCTTGGAAGTGGTTTTTGTTGTAGCAGAAGCCAGAAGTTGTCTGGAAATAAAGGTGTGAAGAACCTCCAGGACAGTCCCTCCATTTATCAATACTTAAAAGGACACATGTTGCAACAATTAAAACAATGAAATCAATCCAGAATATTTACTCTATTGACTTGTTAAGAATGACCTTTACTTAAGCAGTCAGCATGTCACTGTTCCTCTTAAATACCACTGAGAATAAATGCTACTGAAAAATACCCTTTTTTAAATAAATTTAGAAAATAAAGCATTTGTTCTTCCTGCCTTGCTTTTAAACCTGGGGTGGAGGGGCTGGGAGGAAGATGGAAGAGAAGGTAATCATCTGGTTACAAACAAGGAAAGAATTCCAAATCATGGGAATATAGCTGGCGCACTACCAAAAGGGCCTCCTCTGAAGAGAATACAATTTTCAAACCTTAGGAAACCTGAGTCAGAAGCAACTGGTTTGAACAGTTTCCCAAGAAAATACTGCAGAGGGCTCAATAATAGAAAGACATATTGAAAGGAAGTTAGTGCAACTGGCAGGGCAATCAATTAGGAAAAGCATGTTTAATTAATAACTTATTTTCAAGCCACATTTTCCTCCTGCTTTATCCATAGCTTAAAATATTTTATCTCAATTTTTGTGAAGAAAGGACATGATCAAAACCGATACAGAAGGAATGCAAAAAAATTTATGCTTTCAATTCTGACCTAGCCTTAAAACATAAAATAGTTAGCAAACAACAATAAACTGAAAGAAGTTTAACACACAAGTTACCTGTGTTACCAAATAAGGTTCTCTACTAGCTGGAGGTGTTTTTAGTTTGTTTTTTTAAACCTCTTAGGTGACCAGCAGCCAGAAAGGAGCACTACTCACTCAGACTAGCTGGTTAACAAAAATTACCTCCATCCTGTGGGGCAGGAATGTGGTAGGCAGGTGGAAGGGAGGGCTACCAAACAACAGCTGCTGGAGTATCTGCTGTAAAATACTGTAATTTCAAATAAGCATTTTACTTCTGTTACATATTTTAACCACTGTAGTTTACCAGATGCAAATTTATGAAATGTACGTATATAGGAACTTTTCATCTGAAGTTAAAAAACCAAAACTTCTAGTTAATAGTATTTTTCTGTTTACCAGAGGAGCCCAGTACGTGTACAGGTAGCCTATTTTCAATGCTGGCACGAACTGTGAGCAGGACACGACGAGAAAATAGAGATTCAAGAAAAACTTGAACTGTTCATATAAAACCTAAAATGAAAAACACAAAATAGATAAATGCCTTAAAATTTGTACCCATCATGTACATAAAATTCATTTTTTTCATGATAGTAGATATAAAACCAGTATATGGCATACTATTATATATGGTATTATTATAGTACTATATAGCACAATATGCTATATACCATCACAAACTACTACACGCCCTATAAGTTATTTTAATATTATACTGCTATTTCTGTTGAGCAAAATCCTTTGATACTAATGCCTCTTTTCACTCTGAAAAAGCAATTTGCTAAATTTTTGATATTTTGAAAGCTGGACTATGTAAACTCATCAATATTAAATACATATCCAGATCACTGTGTAAAGATTTACTCTGAAATTTTAACAGTAAACAGAATTCAGATGTTTGTAGAACCATCTTGCAATAATTTTATATCCACAATAGTTACCTTCATATTTATGAATTAAAAGGTTTTGAATTTTTTTTTTTGTAGTATCAGGAAAAAAAGCAAAATAAGTTTGTGAGTATCTGAACTTCCGTTGCTTACATTAAGTTTCCATTTTTAACTGCTAAAACTTTTCTTCCTCAAATACAGCATTAAAAGTAAATCTTAATTTTTAAGTACCAATACTTAAATTCTGTTTTATTTGTCTCACATTGTCTTTTCTGTCTTAAAAATTTTCATATCCTGGCCTTGAATAATAAGAAACCCATTGGCATCAAATGAACAGAAACCATTTACAAAAATATTATCCTAGTCTTTGTCATTTGAACTTCTACACAGTAACAAAACTGAGGAGGCTATACCATGCTGCTCTGCATCACTGTGAGAATACCCTAAAACTTCAGCCCTGTCTGCAGCACATACAGAAAACAGTATACATGAACTCGTCGTTACTTTTGTTCACTGCATTCCTTCAGCACGCTCTCTCCTCAACACAGTCACTGAAGTTTCTCCTCTTGCAGGGGTGGAAGCTCTACAACTCACCTGCCTTCTTTCTGAACTCGTTTGATTCTCAAAGGGACAAAGGCTACCACCAAGTCAGATGCACTTCTTCAAAATTACTGTTTCCCACTGTTCTTAAAAATCATGAAACTACTCAATGTTCAAGAACAAGTGTTATTTAGGAAGGTAAACGAACACTGCAGAAAAGATCCAGTGAGTAAGGGTAAGTGACACTGCTCTCTTTCTAAATGGCTATCATGTGGAAATCTCAGAATAAGGCAGTATTCTTCAGTTTCCATAGCAAGACAAGCTTTTTACAAAAGCAACCACAGTTTAAGTTTTCAGAAGGTTTAAACTACAAAAAATTTGTAACAGAATAACATGGGCTTTTGAGGTAATTTAGAAGAAATGCTCAGCATTAAATTTCTCAAAATATTATTTTGCAGTAACTATTAGTACATAAGATGTATTTATTAATAAATCAAAGGTTTGGTCTAAATTCCAAGATAGTTGTCCAAGTTTTAAGTGAAGACACAGTAACCTTATCACAGACTACATTGTCCCATATTCCAAAGGAATATGCAAAGATTCCTTTGGTAATTACAAACACCATTTCAGCAAGTGCGGGTTCTCAACATTGCTTTAGTTACAATTGCAATGCTAAGTACATTATTAATTTCATAGAATTCTGATTCTTCAAAGACTTCACATATTTCTTTAGTAGGCCAGGATAACATGGTACCTCCAGCAGGAGGATCAGAAGTGGCTACTGAACTTGGAACATTGAGACTTGAGAAAATGGATAATCAATTGTTTCAAAGCTAGAAGATTCAAAATAGATCAAAAAGCCACATTTAAAGAGTGTCTCCATCTTTTAATCTTACAATTCAGTTAATATTACAATGACTTCTACATGAAAATCGAAGTTATTGGACATATATTTATTGTCTTTATCAGTACAACATTATTACTCAATTATGTAAAAACCTATGCCCTCAGAAAAAATATTCAGGCAAGTTCATTTCAAAGTGTCTTTCCGGCAGGCATAAAGTAGCAGTACCTCAAATTGCCAGTTTCTTGGAAGAACGCTACACTACCGTTCAGTTAAAGGCTACCTAAACAGCCTCAAATCAGAAGATTTTTTCAAAAGCAGGAATTCTATTCCACTACTTACCAACAAAACTCTCAAGCCAAAAAAATTCAAATATGAATTTGCAGGGAAAGTTGGAGCATTCTTCCAAAATGAAACTAATTCAGCTTGAACCTATACCATATGTTAATACTGATGAAGTTCATACACTCATTTCTAGCAGTATGTTTAACTGTTTACAAAGACTTGATATACCAGGTCAAGAAAAACTCCACGGAGTACTTTGGGAGGTGCAGATCTGCAAGATCACCCATCTTGCAGGAGAAAGTGGGAGTTAAAAAGCAACTTCCTACAAGTCTTTTGAATCCTGGCAGACCACTGACAGTTCATTCAATAAAGCTAAACACTTCAGTCTAGTTAAGCAAACTGAAAAGGCTCCAGTAAACTGATTAAAAAAATAGACTACTGCTTTGAAGTTCAGGAGAGGTATCTTAAAAACCTTCCCATCAGAGAAGATATTCTTTACGGAAATTTACACAAAATTCCTAAGCAGCTGTACCAAGTTGTATATGAAATAGTAAAAACAGAAATTGAATAAACTGGCATAAAAGTAGAAGCAGTAAGTATTTTATATAAATGTTATGAAATTAGACGATATTTTGGAAATGTTACAGCTCTTTTAGCCAGTAAGTAAAATTCTGTTAATCTGAACGTTATTTTAAGCTTGTATTTTGATATGAAATCATTGAATATTACCCATTGCCAGCTGCAATGTTAAAAAAGATACAACTCTAAAAAGACGACAAAACTTCACATGATGAAAATTTCAACCAGGGTAAATCATTGGAGTCAATATTTATAACTTAGTTACATTTATGGGTTTGGAACCAATACAACTATGTTCCCTACCCATTACTCCTAGTGGAACAACATAGAAAAACCCAGATAGCTACACAGTATTTCTAATCAATGAAAATTGTTAATCTGTGTCTAAAATTAAAATTTAGAAACATTTTATCTTCACCAACTATTGGCCTTTACATTTAGGATCTCACTTCATTTTGAAGTTACTACTGAGTTTCCAAATACTACCACCAAAATAAAAATCTGATTTTGCCTATACTGTAAAACCCAAGATTTTTCAAAAGATCAAAAAAGAACAAACATTCTCTCTCTCAACAGGTAATTGCAAGCTATGGCTGATCCCTATAGGAAACTTGAATCTAGTTTAGGATTTGTAATCTACACTGCAGATTTCTAGCCACAATAATCAATTACTTACTATATGCTTAATGAATTTTGTGACCTTTACAAAAGCATATGTGGCTTAACCAATTTCAGTGTATTTAATAATTTAAACTTCGGAAGAAAACATTTACTTCGTTCAATAGAGATGAGAATATTTTATCCGCCTGTGATAAATGACATTTTATTTCTTTGACAGGAGATCAGTCTTAATTACAAAGCCATTAATTTTTTTTGTTTTAATAAAGAAATGTATTAGAAAGCACCTGCCAGTCATTGGACTGAAGAGGCCAGAAGAATAGAATCAATACTCTTATAAAACCAGCATGATCACTTAAATAAAAAATTTAAGACAAAGCATGTGTGTATTCAAATGTAGAAGACATTCACTTTTTGCAACAGCACACAGGACTCTTGGTATTAGTAAAAGTATGAGTAAAAGCATATTAGTAAAATTTATAATATCACAGCAACATACACTTTTAGGTTTTAACTACTGAAGCTTCCAAAGTTGTCTTCTCTATTGCTGTATTTCATTGAAACAACGATTCTTTTTAAAAGTGTGAACTAGACAAAACTGTAATGTTTCTTTTGTCGTCATATACACTGTGAACATTATAGGCAAAAAATTGAAATTAAGATGCAACAAAGGTATTGTCTGAAGAACTGCATTCAAAACCAAGAAGACATCACTATTTTTAAAACTGCAATAAGAAATACAACTCTGAAAAGTACTAGTTTACAAAACTAGGCCTTACTTGTTATCATACAAATTGAAGAGGTGGGTTGTTTTGGTCCTTTAAGGAGCTGCCTGTTTCAGAATACATTACTTATTATGCTTTCAATGGCAGGTAGTATGAGAAAATATCTACAGGCATACATTGTGATTTTCAACTATTTATTTCTCAATTGAAGTCAGTGCTTCATAGTATTTTCACAACTGACTGTAGAAGTGCTTCTGGTTTAAAAAGAGTATTACAAATTCCTAATGATGAATAGAAAAGTGCAAGGAAACCCATCTCAAATTTCTAAAGCTTCACTGAATTCCACTCCATCATGCACACTGCACTTCTTCAGTAAATATTGCTTTGAAAACAAAACAGTTTGGAAAAAAAGCAGCCTTGCTCTCAACTGTCAACTTTCATTGAAGACATTGAGATAAATGTAAAAAGAAGAATCTGGGCAAATAGAATTATCTTTTGCAGAATCACCAAAAGACACCACAGAACATACAGTCAGCCCAACACCAAAAAAATGGTTAGTAGCCTTACCCCAGGTATAAAGGTAAAGACGTTGTATTTTTGATTTTTTATGGCATTTTTGGGGTATTTTTCTTCACACTTTTCAGGACACCCAAGCCACACTGTGCGAGCCTTCAGCTCTTTCCTTCTTCGGCAAATGTTTATCAGCCAATCGGTACAACTGAAAAGAAAAACAATTGGTCACTTTAAAACTAAAAATTTACTATATGCAATTACTATTTCCAAACCTGGAACCCTAAAGGCAAATACCTAAGAAAAACAGGCTTAAAAATTTCTGCCACATCTAAATAAGCAAACATGACACTGAGTTACAATATTTAGGGCAATTACATGGTACTCAACTCATTCAGACATATACATATATAAATACTTGCACATTCTTTAGATGAAATCATAATAAAATAACAACAAGTTTCACTACACCTTGCCCTGACACAGGTTCAAAAAATTCTAGTTAATACAAGTCTGCATTAGCAGTGACTAAATTATCCCACTGTTAAATAATTAACTGATCCATCATACCTTACAGTCCTTTGGCTAAACTCTTTATCTTGTATTACTGATACTCAAATTATGGTAATGACTGAAGAGGAAGTAAGGCTTCTGTTAGATAAAAATTTCAACAGCTTTGTATACAATTACCACATAATTTGTAAATCTTAGTTTCCTCCGTAACACTGCCTATAGCAGACGTAACAGGAAAGCATACCTAATGCCACACTGTCAAATGTTTTCAACCAAAAAAACCAAAAATGTAAATGCAGATCGCACAACGATCTGCAATGGTGAATTTCAGTTCACAGAAGAGAGGAAGAGCATCCTTGCCTAACCAGCTTACAAATCTACTGAAGAGGGTTTATACTGTGAGCAATGAGATAGACAGAAGAGCTCACAGCCACCTTTAAACAGCTGCAATTTGGACAAGGACACAGGAATGATGGAATAAGATCACAATGTAGGAGGAACAAAAGGCAGGCAAACAGAATGATGCCACTGAGGCTCAGCAGACTATTTACTAACAACAGTAAAACAAGAAACAAACATGGATGTGACTCAACTCACATAATATAATCAGCCTAAGACTTGCTAGGACTATCCACAGGGGCAGATTATTAACACAAATGAGTACAGATGGGTTGGAAAGAACTGGTAGTTTGGAAAGAAAAGCAGGTTTGTCATATACTGTATATACTTGTTTTACAATCCCGTATGTTAAAGGAGAATTTCTCTGCATTTTTTGATACTGGAGGGAGGTGCCTTAATCATCTTGGAAGTCTGTTTTAGGCAAGTGAATCAGGAAGACTGAGCAGACAGGCCCTCCATGACCACCTACTGCAGCAAAAGCACAGACCTAGCTGGTCACAGTGGGTTTCAGCTACATCAGCAGGTCAAGTTAAGGGTGAAGAAGTGACACATTTTCTAGTGAGGTTTTTGAATAAAGTGACAATATTTTTGATATAGGGAAAAAAAAAGTAACCATTAGGAAGCTCTTAAAAATTGCATTCAAACCAGCAGAAACGATTTTGCTGAGAAGAGGGAAAAGTTACAATCCAGTCACCTCAGCACTGTTTCCTGGATGAATTCTGTAAAGTCTACCTATTTCTATGTATTTGTACACACCTGAAAGAAAACAAAGTCATAACCAACACTGACATGTCAAGAGCAACTTCTAAAACGGAACTAATTTCCCTCTGAGAAGAGCCAGATGCACTACTGCTTGAGAGTACATGTCATCTCTTGACTCCCGGGGCTTTGAGCACCTTGATCTAGTGAAAGATGTCCCTGCCCATGGCCAGGGAGGTTGGACTAGACAATCTTTAAAGGTCCCTTCCAACCCAAATCATTCTATGATTCTATGTCTCCAATAAAACTTAGCTCTCAAGATATTCCTCATAAGGAAAGTAAAGGATTATATTCTTGGAACTGACACATTTGGAGAAATCATAATTGCAGAGTAGCTTGTTATAAAACCAAAGTAATTTCAGTAAAGTTCTGCAAAGCTTTATCTAGAACTTACTGGGTAACTGACTATCAAATATTTCATTTTTCAGACAACAAAAAGCTTGAAGAGACAGGGGTACATGCAAAGAAGAGATTAGATTTCAAAGCTGTCTTGACAGATTGGAAAAATTACCTGGAAGAGGTAGAATTCAATTAAACAGGCAAAAGCACAACACTGTATATTGACACAGAAATAATCAACTACACAAATACAGAACTGGAAAAGAGTTAGTAGATGGCAGCTCAAAAGAGGACTCAGTTACTGCATGAGAATGATATACATGTGCAAAGAGGGCATGTATCTGCTCAGTGTGGACAGGCATACTGCTAGCAAGTGATGAATGTATTCCTTTTTCTCAGTCCAGTACTAGCAAGAACTCAGTTGGTTTACAATACCATTTTGAATACCAAATTTCAACAAACAGGCCTATTGGGAAAACAAAGACCACACATAAGAGCAATAAAATGATCACAGGTCTAGAAAGCAGGGCAGATTTGTCTACTAGATACACCTAATGTGTGGACCTAATATGCTTTCAAGTATGCAAGAAACAGCTGTGAAGAGGAAAGGGACAATTATTCTCTAGGTCCGCCATGATTAAGTAATGATGGACTTCAGCTGTGGCAAATAAATAAGGGGCAGGGGGGGCAGCAGGATACACATTGAGGAAATGCTTCTAACATAGGGTGGAAGAACTGCTACCACTGTAGGTCTCTAAGATCCGGTTACATCAGACATAAGCGATAGGTGTAATCCATCCTCTGCAGGCAAGGAATCAACTGGACAACCGCCTAAGGTCCTTTCCTATTCTGTTTTTCCACAGTTACAGAATCATGGTACACAAAAATATGCAGGGAAGGAAGGCTGACAGTTAGCTTGCATCACCACAGTCCCACCTAAAATGTTCTTGTCTGTAGCCTACATTATCCCAAGCCTACTACAAACTAATTTTGCCAAAAAACAAATGGAATTCAAAGTTGCAGGCTCTTTTTAAAGAAAACTAGAAGTTATGCAATAGTAAAAATCATTCAAAGCAACACTGACTTTGTTATGGAAATGCCACTATACCAATACTCACAAGCTGACATTTTTTAAAATTACCTCAATTTTAAATGCTAGATTCTTAAGGTTTCCTCCCTGAAGCTTTCACTACAGGATGGACAGAAATTTGGTTTGATCCTATGTAAACATGCATTTTATTTCTGTTACAAATATAAGCCCATTCAGCAACTTTGTCACTATTTAGAAGTGATGGGAAAAAGAATTATTCTGTCGCAAAAATTGTAAGTGTTAGTTCAACACTCAGAATTCAGCGCTGTTATTTAGTAATTAAGTCAGAAAAATCAAGTTACCTTGATCATTACTTAAATTTGTCTTTAAAACAAAACGAACAGCAGTCTTTCTATGGCATGATTCCACAACCAGTTTAATGGCTGTGAACCTACCCTGCTGCTGCTGAAATGGCTAGTGACACCCTCCTCCCATAACAAAGGTGTGGATTCTTGCCCCTTCCCTTGGGCTGACACAACTACTCATGCAACTGCATGGGTAAACCAGACTCACAAATCTGGCTGTAAACTAGCACAGAATAAAAGGGGGACTATTTTCAGTTAGATCCACCCCTGATCTTTAAAAATCTATAAAACTGTAAAAATAGTTGAAACAATGCAGGGTACATGCTTGCAGAAGGTGGAACGATTCCACGCACTGTCAGCTTGGATTTACACTTGATAAAACCACTCATGAAATTAAAGCTTTAAAACATATTCGTTTCCAGGGCAGGAGAGGGGAGAGGACAATACAAACAGAAGAGACACCTTAGCTTTATAGTAAGAAGTGTCAAGACAGATCTGTAGCAAAACAGTTCCAAGGAAAGTAATTTTTTCCGGGGAAAGTGAACAAGCATGAGAGCTTCTGTCTACAAGCCCGTAGACAGAAATTTCCTGACAGCCTTTGAAATCTTGCATTGCTTAAATCAGTTTTTGAATTTAAACTGTAAGCGGACTGAACATTTGACTAGCCCCAGTCTCTTTTGTAGAATAATTTCCTCAGACACTGAGGACTTTTCTATTACTAAAATTAAACATTTGACTAGAACAACTGAATTATACTGCCTTCCTTGCCACAGAGTTTCCCCTTTCTGAAATTACCTTCTCCATTACAGATCAACAGAAAAGCTGAAACAGATGCCATAATGACCATTAGTTTAGCAAATGCCAAAAAGTACAGACACAAGAACGATGTCTGATTGGGAAACAAGGGAGAAACCTTTGATAAAAGGGATTTGACTGACAAGAGCTAACAACACTCAAGTTCAGATGCAAGAAAAATCTCAGATGATGGAAATATTACAGGTTATACCCAAATCAGTATCATAGTGGTTCAGATTAGTTTTACTACCTTAAAAGTAAAAATCAGTTAGATTCTGCCATTTACAATCTCAGCAGTAATCACTGTTATATCACAGGAAGAATAAGAGGTGGACATGCTGGCCTCAGAAATCCTAATCCATTTACATTAATTAGATTTTTAAGAACAATGAAGTCCACCAGATATTCTTGAAACTCAGATTATCAACACCCAATACATACTTAGTCTGTTCTCAAATTAACATTCCCCAATACAGAAATTATTTTTGTGCAAGGGTATGGACCCTTTCACGGGCTTTTTGTACCCACTAAATTTGTGTGAAACAAACATGAGGAGGTAAATCAGGATAGCATTCTCCAAGCTTCAGATATCCTAAAAACATAATGTAAGATGCAGCATGATCAAGACACACTTTAGATTTTCCTGAAATCTTAATGTAAAACCACACCTTATGCTACAGATTCAGCGATTAAAAAAAAAAAAAAAATCACATTCTCGTTTATTGATTTAAGCATTTATTTCAAATACCCTTGCCTGGAAAATTCAACACATGCACAGAAAGGGTTTTTTTTCTTAAGCTAGCTATAAGCCATGTTGTCTATATCAATACAACAGATTGTATATATGAAGAAATTAATTAATTGATAAAAGAACTTTAATGTATATTTATTAAATGGCTTTACCAACCTGCTTCCTAACGTACTTTTTTTTATTTGAAGGAACAATAACCACAGCCTTCATATTAGTAACTGATGCCATATTAAAAAAAAAAAAGATTAATTGTTAAATAAGAACCCTCAACTTTTTCATAAATGGAGCGTATCTCTCCAAGTCAAAAGCTAAAGTAAAAGTCTCAACTGACTCTGCAGCTCTAATAATAAAGGCTTTTTTTATTTTCTCTTTTCATTACTTTCATCCTACAAGCTTAACTGCCAGTATCTTTCACAAAACAGCATTTTCATCAGAATGGAAAGATAATATAAAAGCTCTATATTGTCTACAAGGGTCAGCTTTTCCTTATTAGGTTTTAAGTAGCAGAAACTAGTTCTGCAAAGAAAACATACTGTAATTATTGTACTCAACAGGTAGCTTCAGTAATCAGGCCAAAAGCAACACAGTGGTCATGTCATTCTTAAAAGATCAGCATTTTCCCATGCTTCTGCATAACAAATGCGTTGCAGATTAATTGAAAGCGTACAGGCCATCTTAGAGCCCAAATTAATCCGAGCATTTGATATCCCCTTCACTTCATATGGAAATGCCATTCAATGGCACCATTTTCATAGGGACAAAGTGTTTTTTGATAACAAGTGGAATGTAAATCTCATGAGAAAGAAATCAATCCAGCCCAAAGAACTACAGAGTATTGATCTATGTGCATTATAATTTCACAAGCTTGAAGAGAATTTGTAAGTTAAAGGGGAAATGATTACAGCCACAAAACAGCTGCTATATCACAAAGTTTTCTTTTAACTGTGCTATGAAAGCAAGAAATAAGCAGTTTCTGAAGTTAAAAGCTATATTGGTTGAATTAAGTCTTCAGTTTGTTCAAAATCAAAGACAACATTTGATTTAATTATGATTTTTTTTTCCTTGCAAATGTAAAAACTGTTAGAAGAGCTGCAGATTTGCAAATAAAGTTCACGCCATTCAGTACCAATCAACAAGCCTGTTGTCTAAACAGAATTTAAAAGCTGAACAAAGGATTTTTACAAAAATCAATTTTAATGTACAGTGAACTTTGTCAAACCTTCCATATTTGCTCCTGCCAAAAGGGTGAAACTTTTTCAACTAAACAGTAATAGTTTGTGATGTAGCAACAAGAATCTATAGAATACAAAATTCTAAAGCTACAAAGTAAGAGATGGAAAACTTCCTCTCACAAAAATGAGATTAATCCTAACAATGTAAAACAGACAAAAAAACCTAGCGGGTATGGGGGGGTTTTGTTTGTTTGCAACAAGTAGAGTGATTCTGAACACAAACACAAGACTTTCACTGAGAACCCAAAAGACATCAGGGGCCCCCTGAGCTCGGCTCCAGACAAATGCCCAGTCTTTTATTGTGTTCATCTTTCTGTCACAGCTTTGAAAAATTTACAATTTAAAGCACAAAAGGAAATTCTGGATATGGAAGTTGAGATCTCAACCTCACCCAGTCTCAGGTATGAGATACTAATTTCTATAAAAACAGGATGAAATTTTAAATTCTATTCAACTGAACAGGTTTCAGAGCACTATGCTGTATTTAATCTCACATTACACTTAAAAGAATGCAGTCTGCCTTCTGGAAATAAGTTTCAGTTGTTTGCATAACGTATAATCCACCATCAACCCACATGAAAACTTTTCTCACATGCTCCTCTCCATTTCAAGTGTGAAGGCATCAACACCCAATTCTATCCCAAACAGATACTTTACACCACATAAAACCAGTGTAACTCATTCTACTACACAGTGTAAGTAATAACTGCATGTATGACAATACAGTAGCCTCCAGGTTTCCTGTATGATCTTTTGCATGATACTAGGCAACTTTATGAACTGCAAATAGGCATTTCAAAAACTCTAGTATTCTGTGAGCCCCAGCAAAAATTCATACAGTTTTGTTATAATAAGAAACCATCAAAAAATAACTGACTTAACACTGACTGCACATCCCTGACTTATCAATAACAAAGCCTCAGTGGTGCTCTGAGCTCAGAAGAAGCCTCCCTATCACCGTGACAGGTATTTACGTACTCACTCAGAAGCGCTCACTCAAGCTGGGGTTTTTATCCTGCCTGACTGGACCAGCAGGTAAGACACCCTGGGATTCACCATCCTTCCAGCTACTTTTCCCCACCCCATCTAAGCAGATGTCTGCACCTTTCTTGTGGGAGTATCCTCTGCCTTGCTAATATCCTACTGAAATTTCAAGCTTCTGTATCTGCTATGATGTTCTGTTATTAGAAAACACTAATGTGATTAAAAAGACTCTAGGTATAAATACAAGACTGAATGGACTCTTTATTGTATACAAATTCCGTTGAGGAAATTAGCAAAGCAGAAGTCATACCCCTCCAAGGCCTCTTTTTTTAGTGAGGGCTTTTCTTTTACACACCTACGTTAGCAGTAAAATATGTGTAAGATGTAGCAAAATAATGAATCCATTAATGCTATTTCCTTGCTCTTTTCATTCTCAAAAATCCGTCACAAATATGGCTCAAGTATTTTAATTAATAAGTTTGAAAGTTTCTAGACTTGAGCTCCACTTAAAGCTCAGATGTACCTATCAATCTTAAAAAGCAAGCAAGAACATGAAATTTTTCAGTTCTCAGCATTAATGACACTTTCTTGTGACATTCTCTCATGATTGTTAATTAGTTCCAACATAAACTCATCTTGCAACTGCCTGCCTCTATCCAAACACTGCAAATTCCCTGTCAGGACAACTACAGGGTGCAGCCTTTATTGGTCTACCTGTTTTCATGAAACTTACAGGAATATAATCACAGTAACTAATACTCACTAATACTCAGAGAGCCAAACTCACCTAAAGTACATTATTTGAAAGGTATCTCAATTTTAAGGTATGTCCAAAAGACTAACAGCCCCTTTAAAGTGTTTTTTAAAAACTATAACGGTACTTCTGTAACGGAAACATTGCCTCCAAAAGTCACCTACATATACAAACACTGTTTCTGTAAACTTTGCTACCTTACTTCCTTCCTGCTACTTTCCAAACATTTATTCTCTATAATAAAATTAGTAATCCATGAGGTTTTGTTAAATCATTATAGAAAAAAAGATATCAACACAGATTATATTTTTCTGCAAATAGTAAAGATGTTTAACAAAATTATTTCAAAACTAAAGGTGCACAAATACAACTTTGCTTAGGTAAAACAACAGTATCAGACCTCTTGAAATTTATTAAGTGCCATGAAAACCACCTGTAAAGACTTCTATCTACATCAATTCTAAAATTAACTGGGGGAAAAAAAAAAAGCATTAATCATTTAAGTTCACTGAAAATGCTCCACTCACTTCACTTGACTGATTCTCAGATTATCATTCAAGATAAAAAACCCCATGATTCTTAATCATCCTAATAGGAATTTCTATATTTAGAAACTTGCTGGCAATTCATTAGAAAGTTACTATTCCAAGGCAACTGCATACAGCAGTTTAACACAAAACATTTCTAAATAAGAACGAAATCACAAGAGCTGATTCCAGCTGTAATTCACTCCAAGGCCACCAGTTACATGTATTCTTTAACCTTTAAAGTTGAAGTGTTAACTAATCATTTTTAATTTGCTTTTTCTTTTCAGCAACATCAATAAAATTTATATATTGTCAACTTAACACACTAATGCCCTCAAAAGTAAAAGGAAGTTTTAACCCCTCTACCCTGATGTCATTTTGAGAAGTGAGGACCAGGCTTATATGCCATATTACGGACCTCAGACTACTATCAGTTTAGTACATGATGTCTCTTGAAAGCCTCTCTCTTTCTCAGAAGCAGAGGAAAAGTATACAGCGGCAGCTCTTCAGAACTTTTTTTATTAACTGCTAGTAATGTCCTAGTAGGGAAAATGCAGGCAAAGCAGTCAAAAGGTACACAACAAGCAAATTATTATGCTCCCATACTCTGCACATATCACACAATACACAGTTACTATTTACTTAATTCGTTTAATAGTTTAATAGGAAGTGCTGGTATGTAACAAACCTAGTGCAAAGGAACTTCCAGCCACCACAGATAAACCATTCTAAGCCTCTTCTTCTCTGAGAAATTCTGGCTCTTGGTAGAGTATGGTAATCACTCTCATCATTTTCAAATCCTTCTTCTGACATCATTAGTGGCATTTCATCCAAATGAGAGGACTCATCTTCCACTTGGTACCTGGCAAAATAAAATAAAAACACTACATAAATAAGCCAATACATCATTTTTTATTACCGGGAATCTCCTACAGTAACAAGTTAATTTTTGCCATATGGAATTTTATTATAGAGATATTTTCATTTAAACATCTCATGTATTTGTGCTAACACATCAACAAGAAATTCTGATTTGAATTAAAAATGGGTAATACAGCAAAAAGGCCTGCAATCATTGTCAATCATAGTATAAGTCATTACGGAAATTCTTGTTTCTTACATAATTTGTACACACAGAGCTGCAACTTCATACTTTTCAAAGGATTCTTTGTAAGATTTTGTTAAACAGAATTTACTTGGCAAAGTTTATAGCAGATGCAAATGACTGAGTTTTCACAGAAGTACAGACTTTAGATTTCCACTGAGCTTCTTCAAGTTGCTTTGCTATTGTCTATTCCTGTGCGCACAGTCCTCTATTTGAGTCACTCTTTCTACACAGCACAACAGTACCTTAGTTTTAATTGCTAAAACATTACAGTTACTTTTATAAGTCTACGCAAAAACATTCAGCAAGTCAAAACAGATTTGCCTGTGGGACCTATAGAAACAACACTAAGCTAACAATGGTCCTTTCCTTTTCCAGAAACTATTCTCCACTTCAATTTTACACTTCTGGAATGCTTTTTATGCCAAGACAAAATACTGGAGTATTCGATAAGAAAATTGCCCTAAGTGCATGCAAATTGAGTAACTTCTTCAGTTCATACTTTTACACCATCAGGAAGATGATTGAAAGAAACTGCACTATTACTCAGGTTTCCTTTCACAGACTATTAAAACGACTAATAAGGATATTAATTAGAGTAAAATTTTAAAAGGAATTAAACATTATAGTCAAGAAACGAACATCTACTTGTATGCAATAACACATACAATAACCCTAATCAATAAAAATACACGATACAGAACATTTTGTTCTGACCAACAAAACGGTCAGAAAAGCTGGGCTGCACAAATGCTTACAAAGTAAGTGAAAAACATATCAAATTGAACACAAAAGCAAAAACTTTTAAATATATAAAAACCATTACTTGACACTATTCGCAATAGTAGTTAAATAGTCTTTAAGTAGGAACAGCTGATGAAAAACATATCTGACCAGAATAAATCAAAAGATATTCTGCATATGTGTTTTTAAAATTTCTCAAATACTTCACAGTTCGGAGGACTAGTAGACTATCATCTATTTTTTGTGTAATATAGAATTTATCTACCTTGAAATTATTCTTTACTACTCCTAGTGCAAGAATAATTCCTAGAGCTCAGGGGGAAAAAAACCCCAAACAAACAAACCAGAAAAAGGACTGAGTCACAAAAAAAGAGTGTTTGGCACAGAATTACTAAGTTTGATTTTTATGAAGCTGTATTGTATAGTCACCTCTTACAATGTGCATCCTGGGACCGTCCCATTTTCCCCATAGCAACCTAGAAACTATCCATATAAAAATAGTAACTAACAAAACCAAAAATCCATTCCCTTTATGTGAGAGAGCAGCTGGAGTGCGTGGAGGTCCGCCTGGATGGATGAGGAGCTAACTGAGAGCTTCTGGGTTAGGATTAAAGAGAGGACAGGTAAAGGCAACATTATAGCGGATGTCTGCTACAGACCACCTGAATACAAAGAACAAGCAGATGAGGCCTTATACAGACAGATAGGAGCAGCCTCACATTCACAGGCCCTGGTCCTCACAGGGGACTTCCATCACCCTGGTGTCTGCTGGAGGGACAACACAAAAGGACATAAGCAGTCCTGGAGGGTCCTGCAGTGCTTTGACAACTTCCTCCTCCAAATAATTACAGGAGCCAATAAGGAGAGGTGCTCTGCTGGACCTCATATGCACCAAGCAAGGAAGGGCTCATTGGGGATGTGAAGGTCAAACGCAGCCTTGGCTGCAGTGAGATGGTGGAGTTCAGGATCCTGAGGGCAGGGAGAAGGGTGGCAAGCAAGCTCACAACCCTAGACTTCAGGAGAACAGATCTGGCCTTTTTAAGAACTGCTTAGAAGAGTCCCATAGGATAAGTTCTTAGAGGGAAGAAGGACCCAAAAAAGCTGGTTCTAAAAGCTTAGAAGAGTCCCATAGGATAAGTTCTTGGAGGGAAGGAGGACCCAGAAAAGCTGGTTAGTATTCAAGGATCAGTTCCTCCAAGCTCAAGAGAGTTCTACCCCAATGAATAGGAAGTTGGGCAAAAACACCACGAGACCTGACTGGATAAACAAGGAGATCCTGTTCAAACTCAGACACAAAAAGGAAGTGCACAGAGGGTAGAAGTAAGGATGGGTAACCTGGGAGGAATACCAAAACTTGTCCAACTGGAATTGAATCTGGCCAGGGATGTCCAAGACAAGAAGTCTGTAAGTACACAGGTGGCAAAAGGAAGACTAGGGAAAATGTGGGCTCATTGCTGAATGAGAGAGGGGACCTGGTTACACAGGACATGGAAGAGGCTGAGGTACTGAATGCCTTCTGTGCCTCAGTCTTTACTAGCGAGACTGACTTCCAGGAGTCACAGGTCTCAGTGAGCAAGGGGAAAGGCTTGAGCAAGGAAGATGAGGATAAAGTCAGGGAACACTTAAGTAAACTGAATATATATAAGCCTATGGGCCCTGATGAGATGCACCCATGATGCTGAGGGAGCTGGCAGATGTCATTGCAAGGCCGCTTTTGATAATCTTTGATCAATCGTGGCAACTGGGAGAAATGACTGAAGACTGGAGGAAAGCAAGTATCACTCCTATCTTCAGGAAGGGCAGGAAGGAGGACCCAGGGAACTACAGGCCTGTCAGCCTCACCACAGTCCCTGGGAAGGTCATGGAGCAGCTCATCCTGGAAACCATTTCAGGCACACGAAGGACAAGAAAATCATCAGGGGTAACCAGCATGGTTTCACCAGGGGGAAGTCATGCTTGACCAACTTCATAAACTTCTATGATGAAATAACTGGCCTGGTAGATGAGGAGAGAGCAGCGGATAGTGTCTACTTGGACTTCAGTAAAGCCTTCAATACTGTCTCCCCTAAAATCCTCACAGACAACCTGTTGATGCAGGGGCTGGATGAGCAGTCAGGTGGACTGAAAACTGGCTGAACAGTCAGACCCAGAGAGCAGTCACCAGTGACGCAAAGTCTAGTTGGGGGTCAGTAACTAGAGGAGTACCCCAGAGGTCCATGCTGGGTTTCAGTCCTGTTTAACATCTTTGTTAGTGAACAAAGAGGGGCAGAGCACACCATCAGCAACTTTGCAGATGACAAAACTGGAATGAGTATCTGATAGGCCAGATGGGCAGGCTGCCATGCAGTGCAAACTTGATAGGCTGGAGAAATGAGCTGACAGGAAGCTCAGCAAGGAGAACTGCAAAGTCCTGCACCTGA